CCCCGCCCAGATAGGTCTCTGGATCCGCCACTGTACTGCTAGCTTACATGACTGTTGTAATAAACGTAGGCCCTATTATGTTATTACATTTTCTAGTTGACAAATCAAATTTCTTATTAGTCATTGTGATTTTATAAGATTCCGACATTATTTGTAAATCATTGACACAATTGCTAAACTGAAAGAAATGTAATAAAATGAAACCAGCCCAAAATACTTACTGCCAACCCCGAACACGTGAAATACTAGTATCACAGCCACGCCAGAGAGTAGTCCAACCAATAGTACAATGATTAACACCGCAACAAAACAACGTTTTAACGACCCAGATTTCCTCTGGGTCCCACTGTTCGTCTCACGTGCGCTTTCCACGCGATCTCGCTTCGTGCTGGCGGGACTTGTTTCCGTTTCGAAGACATTGTCATCATCACTGTCAACACGTTTGTCAACAGTATATGTACTCGCTGCAAACCCAATGTTGGTGTAAATAAACTTGTTGTCTGCTTCAGTTGGTGACGGGGTCAAATCATGGCTCAGTTTGTATTTCTGAAACATAAAAAGCACGCATTTTAAGCTAAGTAAATATTGTAAGAATTTGTGTAACGATCGAGCTGGCACCCAACCAGACACTGGCCACGCTTGACGTTGCTGAGCTAGTGAGCGAGTCTCGGGGTTATACCACATCGGGGGGAAAAGCTAGCTTGTCAGTACGGCAGTAACTTCCCCTCATTTTCCTTGGCTGCTACATTGGTATGCTTTCATCTGAATGTTTGGTTTGGAAAATTTATGACATGATCAACATAGAGACTGAGCTGTCGACAGGATTTACTAGGGTACTGAATATTTATCGAGAGAGCATGGAATGAGTGAGAGATTGTAATTAAGAAAGGAAAAAGAAAAAATAACGGGGCGGGGGAGAAAAGTTAAATGTATAAAATGCTGCAGCTTGTTCTTTCTATCGCAAGATAAATTATATATGGTGATATAAATCCGGGCAAAGAAAATTCTGAAATTGGTTGTAACAAAAAAAAAAGATACAAATCTGTTAATTTTCACCAAATGAGAACGGCCAAGCTGCTAATACAATAATTAATTAAATTGTCTTAACTCTTTTCTTTAGAACTCTAATCGTTAAATAATAATTTCCGCAATAGTTCGTACTATAATTATCTGTAGATAGGATGTCAGGGCAAACATAATTCTTGAACTGATGGTAACAAAAACAAATGTACAGTTTCTGTTTATTTCCACCAAATGAGAACGGCTGAGCTACTATCATTATATCACATTTTTTGAACTTTTTTCTTTAGAACTCTAATCTTAAAATAATGATTTTTGCAATAGTTTGTCCTTAGTTTGATTCCGGGCAATTGAAGCCAGTGATCCCTGCTGGTGAGCTTATGTTAACCAGTTTACACTAGTCTTCCGTGGGGATCGAGCGGCTCCAGCTTGACTGGTTCAAACTACTTTATAACGAATCAATACAGTAAAGTAGATGTGTTTACGTCACAGATATTTTGTTTACAGTGCGCTGCACTCGATGCCCCGGTAGTACTGGGACGGTACAGCGACATATACGTAACAATACTCCAGCAGGCTACATGTGTATATGTATATAGGTATACAAACATATTTCCGAAACTAATCCGGGTTGTTTTATCAGAAAGAAACATAATAATATTTGTTAACATTCATAATAAGTGCGGCATATTCACTCTGCGCTATGCGCAATCCGAGGTCTATATATACTAACATATTCCACCTCAAATAGTGACACCCTCCTCTATCTACCATATATATACCCTCCTCTCTCTCCTATATATATACCCACCTCTATCTCCTATATCTATACACACCTCTATCTCCTATATATATACACACCTCTATCTCCTATATCTATACACACCTCTATCTCCTATATCTATACACACCTCTATCTCCTATATCTATACACACCTCTATCTCCTATATCTATACACACCTCTATCTCCTATATCTATACACACCTCTATCTCCTATATCTATACACACCTCTATCTCCTATATCTATACACACCTCTATCTCCTATATCTATACACACCTCTATCTCCTATATCTATACACACCTCTATCTCCTATATCTATACACACCTCTATCTCCTATATCTATACACACCTCTATCTCCTATATCTATACACACCTCTATCTCCTATATCTATACACACCTCTATCTCCTATATCTATACACACCTCTATCTCCTATATCTATACACACCTCTATCTCCTATATCTATACACACCTCTATCTCCTATATCTATACACACCTCTATCTCCTATATCTATACACACCTCTATCTCCTATATCTATACACACCTCTATCTCCTATATCTATACACACCTCTATCTCCTATATCTATACACACCTCTATCTCCTATATCTATACACACCTCTATCTCCTATATCTATACACACCTCTATCTCCTATATCTATACACACCTCTATCTCCTATATCTATACACACCTCTATCTCCTATATCTATACACACCTCTATCTCCTATATCTATACACACCTCTATCTCCTATATCTATACACACCTCTATCTCCTATATCTATACCCACCTCTATCTCCTATATCTATACACACCTCTATCTCCTATATCTATACACACCTCTATCTCCTATATCTATACACACCTCTATCTCCTATATCTATACACACCTCTATCTCCTATATCTATACACACCTCTATCTCCTATATCTATACACACCTCTATCTCCTATATCTATACACACCTCTATCTCCTATATCTATACACACCTCTATCTCCTATATCTATACACACCTCTATCTCCTATATCTATACACACCTCTATCTCCTATATCTATACACACCTCTATCTCCTATATCTATACACACCTCTATCTCCTATATCTATACACACCTCTATCTCCTATATCTATACACACCTCTATCTCCTATATCTATACACACCTCTATCTCCTATATCTATACACACCTCTATCTCCTATATCTATACACACCTCTATCTCCTATATCTATACACACCTCTATCTCCTATATCTATACACACCTCTATCTCCTATATCTATACACACCTCTATCTCCTATATCTATACACACCTCTATCTCCTATATCTATACACACCTCTATCTCCTATATCTATACACACCTCTATCTCCTATATCTATACACACCTCTATCTCCTATATCTATACACACCTCTATCTCCTATATCTATACACACCTCTATCTCCTATATCTATACACACCTCTATCTCCTATATCTATACACACCTCTATCTCCTATATCTATACACACCTCTATCTCCTATATCTATACACACCTCTATCTCCTATATCTATACACACCTCTATCTCCTATATCTATACACACCTCTATCTCCTATATCTATACACACCTCTATCTCCTATATCTATACCCACCTCTATCTCCTATATCTATACCCACCTCTATCTCCTATATCTATACACACCTCTATCTCCTATATCTATACCCACCTCTATCTCCTATATCTATACCCACCTCTATCTCCTATATCTATACACACCTCTATCTCCTATATCTATACCCACCTCTATCTCCTATATCTATACCCACCTCTATCTCCTATATCTATACACACCTCTATCTCCTATATCTATACACACCTCTATCTCCTATATCTATACCCACCTCTATCTCCTATATCTATACCCACCTCTATCTCCTATATCTATACACACCTCTATCTCCTATATCTATACCCACCTCTATCTCCTATATCTATACCCACCTCTATCTCCTATATCTATACACACCTCTATCTCCTATATCTATACCCACCTCTATCTCCTATATCTATACCCACCTCTATCTCCTATATCTATACACACCTCTATCTCCTATATCTATACCCACCTCTATCTCCTATATATATACCCACCTCTATCTCCTATATATATACCCACCTCTATCTCCTATATATATACCCACCTCTATCTCCTATATCTATACACACCTCTATCTCCTATATATATACCCACCTCTATCTCCCATATCTATACACACCTCTATCTCCCATATCTATACCCTCCTCTATCTCCTATATCTACACCAACACATACCCTGTTTCTGAGATCCCCCGTGGTTGACCTGCGTGTTTTGGTAGAATTGAAATCTCGTCCTTCCTCGGAATAGGTGTCCTCCATTTCTGATTTGTTATAATTCAAGTGTATCTATCCCAAGCTCCTGTACGTATAATACTTATCTCCGGTTTCTTGTCATAAACCTGGGGTCATTTCCCCTATTTTACAACATTCAAGATTTTTATTTACCCTTTGTTAAACGGATATGTGCGGAACAATAGATCAAATAGTCGATACCACAAATCCACTATATATAGATACAGATTCACACGATTTTGACAGTTTCATCCTGAAGTTATTTCACTATATTTTCATATATATATATATACATTTCCATATGCCATCGCATTGTATTGTATTATACGAGCACAATGCATTAATGATCAGGGCGAAGGGATATTTTTAAGAATAAGTTCACTTTTCAAGAGACATAACTGTAAGTACTCTTTAATGACATATTATAACATCATCGATCAAATTGCATATTTAAACATTATCACATAATAATCTAATCTTGCTTGTAACAAACATTTTCATTGGCTTAAGGTTATCATTTGACATATAATAAACATTATCAAGTGACATAAATGTGATAATTCCCATATAACATACTTGAATATTATCTCGTGACATATTGTAAACATTATCACGTTCACGTGACATAGATATATTGTAAACATTGTCACTTGACATACTTGAATATTAGCACGTGACATATTGTAAACATTATCACGTTCACGTGACATAGATATACTGTAAACATTGTCACTTGACATACTTGAATATTAGCACGTGATATATTGTAAACATTATCACATTCACGTGACATACATATGTACTGTAAACATTCTCACGTGACGTACTAAAATATTGTCACATGATATATTGTAAACATTATTACATTCACGCAGCATATGTACTGTTAACATTATCACGTGACGTACTTAAATATCATCGGGGTGACATGTTGAAAACATTATCACATTCACGTGATATACATGAACTGTAAACATTATCACGTGACATACTTAAAATTCCTCACGTGACATATGGTAAACATCATCACATGCACGTGACACACATTTACTGAAAACATTGTCACGTGATGTACAGTAACATTCTCACAGTACGAGCTCTAAATAGCCTCAAGCTTCATACAGCACATAAATACAAGCTTATCTGTCAGACGAAATATGTCTGACACATACAACTGAAATATGAATCTCCTACATCGGCATTATATCATAAATATGTTTTTGTTTTCTAAGATAAAACTTCATCTGTACATGTTATGGTACTTCCATTTTTCAAATGGGCGTTTTTTGTCAGAATATCAGATTTTTTACAATATATATTTTGCCCTTTTTAGACTTCGTATTTTGTGCTTTGAACCTGTTGTAACAAAATGATATACATGAGTGAAGTCAAACAGAGGTAACGTTAGAACGTTGTGTCGTACAAGCCTACCCGTATAAGTCCAACTCCTTCACTTATGTTGAAATCAGAGGAATTCCAATTCCTCGCCATTTGTAAATCAGATAGTTGCAATGGCGATGTCTTCAGCTCAAACAAGATACAACAAACTATAACAACAGGTGCAGTTTCATCCTGGAACTTGTAATATTTGCATTACATTTGTTTGTTTATCGCGGTACGGCTACCTCCCTAAGCACCAGTATTGATTAATACTTGTACCTGTGAACTGAGATTATTAGCAATATACGAGTATACGGAAGCACATTCTTACCACCACAATATAATTCCTTTTGACGTTATAACGACTAAACTTATTTAATTTTAACGATTAAATATGTCGTAAAGACTTAGCTACCGTATTTAAATGCCTAACGTTGTCGTAGTAACGACTTAGCTACTGTATTTAAAAGGCCTAACTTTGTCATAGTAACGACTTACATGTAGCTACTTATTTGAATTCCTAACTCTGTCGTAATAACGATCTAGCTATGTCATTTAAATGCCTAACTTTGTCGTAGTAGCGACTTAGCTACTTCATTTAAATGCATAACTTTGTCATAGTAGCGACTCGAGTGTCTTCAATTAAATGCCTAACTTTGTCGTAGTAACGATTTAGCTATTTCATTTAAATACATAACTTTATCATAGTAGCGACTTAACTGTCTTCATTTAAATGCCTAACTTTGTCGTAGAAACGATTTATCTATTTCATTTAAATGCCTAACTTTGTCATAGTAGCGACTAATCTGCCATCAATTTAATGCCTAACTTTGTCGTAGTAACGACTTAGCTACTTCATTTAAATGCGTAACTTTGTCGTAATAACGATTTAGCTATTTCATTTAAATGCCTAACTTTGTCATAGCAGCAAATTAGCTACTTCATTTAAATGCCTAACTTTGTCGTAGTAACGATTTAGCTATTTAATTTAAATGCCTAACTTTGTCATAGTAGCGACTTAGCTGTCTTCAATTAAATGCCTAACTTTGTCGCAGAATATTTCATTTAAATGCCTAACTTTGTCATAGTAGCGACTCAACTGTCTTCAATTAAATGCCTAACTTTGTCGTAGTAACGATTTAGCTATTTCATTTAAATACCTAACTTTATCATAGTAGCGACTTAACTGTCTTCATTTAAATGCCTAACTTTGTCGTAGAAACGATTTATCTATTTCATTTAAATGCCTAACTTTGTCATAGTAGCGACTAATCTGCCATCAATTTAATGCCTAACTTTGTCGTAGTAACGACTTAGCTACTTCATTTAAATGCGTAACTTTGTCGTAATAACGATTTAGCTATTTCATTTAAATGCCTAACTTTGTCATAGCAGCAAATTAGCTACTTCATTTAAATGCCTAACTTTGTCGTAGTAACGATTTAGCTATTTAATTTAAATGCCTAACTTTGTCATAGTAGCGACTTAGCTGTCTTCAATTAAATGCCTAACTTTGTCGCAGAATATTTCATTTAAATGCCTAACTTTGTCATAGTAGCGACTAAGCTGCCATCAATTAAATGCCTAATTTTGTCGAAGTATTCATTTAAATGCCTAACTTTGTCATAGTTACGACTTAGCTACTTTATTTAAATGCCTAACTTTTTCATAGCAACGACTTAGCTACTCATTTATATGCCTAACTTTGTCGTAGTAGCGACTTAGCTACAGTATTTAAATGCCTAACGTTGTCGTAGTAACGACTTAGCTACTATATTTAAAATACCTAACTTTGTCGTAATAACGACTTAGCTACTTCATTTAAATGCCTAACTTTGTCGTAGTAACGACTTAGCTAATTATTTAAATACTTAAATTTGTCGTAGTAACGCTTTAGCAATTTCATTTAAATACCTAACTTTGTCGTAGCTACAACTTAGTTTTGTCATTTAAACGCCGAATATGTCGTCGTCTTGACTTGGCTACTAAACATTAATAACTTTGTCGTAATAACGACTTTATCTCAGTTAAACGAATTAGTCCTAATACGTCGAAGACCTAGCTTTGTTTAGTTTTAACGACTATGGCGATATAACGCCACAATATGTGTTGTGGTAATTTGTACTTTGTATACCAATGGGCTCCCGTACGTAAACACCTTGTTGCAGGAATTTAAGTTATCTGTCAAAACAACATTTTGTCAATTTTAGAAAAAGTGTGTCCAACAATGGCGGTATGCGAATGTTAGATCATGGTTAGGCCCGACAAGATCTGTACGGATGTGAAAAACACCTGTAAGGCGGATTTAAATGTTGGGAGGGTGGGGTGAGTAAAGGGGGAACCGGCTCTTTCCCAACCCCTTTTTGGCAGATTGTCTATACCCGTTGCGGTATCATTGAGTAACCGAAATTTATTTTCATATATTTGTCCAACAACAAACAAATATAAATGTACGTTTTAATGAGCATCTTTACTTTGTTTGAAAATCTATATTCGCTGAGAAAAATGTGGAACATGCTGCTAAAAATCAGTATTTAAATGATCTAAAACTTCTTTAAATTTCAAGATAAAATTCAGCTCTAAACATACTCCAGATTGCACTAAAATGACCTTAAACTTCAAGCTTTACCCGGGGAGCATATTTTTACTTATGTATGCTGATGATACAGTTATCTTTGCTGAAACACCTCAAGGTTTGCAAAAGATGCTAGACTCTTTGTTAAATTACACTATCAAGTGGGACCTTACTGTAAATACTTCAAAGACCAAGATTGTTGTTTTTAGAAATGGGGGAAGATTAAAAGATAATGAAAAATGGGAATACGATGGGTGTGTGTTAGAGATAATGAATGAATTCAACTATCTTGGAATCTTATTGAATTATAATGGGAAATTTAAACAAACACAGAAAAAAATATCTGAACAAGGAAGAAAAGCATTGTTTGCATTATTAGGTTATGTAAAAAAAAACAGTATTTTAATATTGAGACTCAATTAGCAGTGTTTGATACTTATGTCAGTAGTATAGTCAACTACGGATCAGAAGTATGGGGATTCCATAAAGCCCCCGACATCGAAAAACTACATGTAGATTTTTGTAAAAGGTTGCTAGGTGTGCGCAAATCCACTCCGAAAATGATGGTATATTTCGAATTAGGCCGTTATCCATTGCATGTAACAAGGAAACTAAAAATATTTAAATATTGGTTTAAATTGCTCAATACCAAAAACTGTATTTTGAAATCCTGTTATGAAAATATGCTGCTAATCAAGGATCCATGGGTCTGTGAAATAAAAGATGAATTGTATCGTTTAGGCTTAGGATATATCTGGGACGCACAAAATGGAAACAATTTCACTTTTTCAATAATTAAGGCAAGATTATTTGACATTTTTAATCAAGAGGGATATAGTTTAATTACAGGTATGTCTAAAGGTATGCTTTACAGAGAATTAAACAGTACAATTTTACTACAATCTTATCTAAAAAAATCAGTTAATATCGGTTATATGAAAGAAATTGCTCGACTTCGGCTGTCGGCTCACAAATTAAACATTGAATCTGGACGTTATGTTGGCACTGTTAGAACTAAAAGATTATGTACAAAGTGTAATCTTAATGACATAGAAGACGAGTTTCATTTTGTTTTAGTTTGCACAAGATATACAGATTTAAGACGGAAGTATTTAAAATGTTATTAAAGAAATAACCCTAGTGTATATAAGCTTGTTCAATTACTTAATACACCGAATATTAAAGGATTATGTAATCTTGGAAAGTATCTGATAGCGGCAAATAAGCGCCGATCAGATATATGACAGTTTGTATGTGTGTATTGTTCATTCTCCTGTGACCAATGTGGCTTTTTGTACATATGTAAATATCCTGTTTAATATTTGTTTACATTGATAAGTCGCAAGACTTAAAGTTAATAAAGAACTTGAACTTGATATTGCCCCCAGACTCCCCAGAGAGGCTAGGCACCTTTTTTGCTCGCATTGGTCTTTGCACAGTCATATAGAACTCTTAATGATCGACGCCTTTGTACAGAGGCCGATAGCTGACATCAAACATCTTTGTTTAACTCACACCTGTGAGATTTGATGGATCCATCTAAGTTTTATAAACACTAGGCTACATTTCAAATATGAAAACAAACTTGAGTTGGCATCTATAAGCTAACTAATTAAAATTCACATTATTTTATAATTAATAACTATCGTGTAAATATTGTGATATCTGTCATTGTTATAATGGCACAGCAATTATCGTGATATTATTTTGATTTTTCAGTATCAGGGTTGTCTGTAGTAATTATCGTGATATTATTTTGATTTTTCAGTATCAGGGTTGTCTGTAGCAATTATCGTGATATTATTTTGATTTTTCAGTATCAGGGTTGTTTGTAGCAATTATCTTGATATTATATTGATTTTTCAGTATCAGGGTTGTCTGTAGCAATTATCGTGATATTATTTTGATTTTCCAGTATCAGGGTTGTCTGTAGCAATTATCGTGATATTATTTAGATTTTTCAGTATCAGGGGTGTCTGTACCACAATTATCGTGATATTATTTAGATTTTTCAGTATCAGGGGTGTCTGTACCACAATTATCGTGATATTATTTTGATTTTTCAGTATCAGGGTTGTCTGTAGCAATTATCGTGATATTATTTTGATTTTCCAGTATCAGGGTTGTCTGTAGCAATTATCGTGATATTATTTAGATTTTTCAGTGTCCGGGTTGTCTGTAGTAATTATCTTGATATTATTTTGATTTTTCAGTATCAGGGTTGTCTGTAACAATTATCGTGATATCATTTAGATTTTTCAGAATCAGGGTTGTCTGTAGCAATTATCGTGATATTATTTTGCTTTTTCAGTATCAGGGTTGTCTGTAGCAATTATCGTGATATTATCTTGATTTTTCAGTATCAGGGTTGTCTGTAGCAATTATTTTGATATTATTTTGATTTTTCAGTATCAGGGTTGTCTGTAACAATTATCGTGATATCATTTAGATTTTTCAGTATCAGGGGTGTCTGTAGTAATTATCGTGATATTATTTTGATTTTTCAGTATCAGGGTTGTCTATAACAATTATCGTGATATTATTTTGATTGTTCAGTATCAGGGGTGTCTGTAGCAATTATCGTGATATTATTTTGATTTTTCAGTATCAGGGTTGTCTAGTAATTATCGTGATATTATTTTGATTGTTAAGTATCAGGGGTGTCTGTAGCAATTATCGTGATATTATTTTGATTTTTCAGTATCAGGGTTGTCTGTAGCAATTATTTTGATATTATTTTGATTTTTCAGTATCAGGGTTGTCTATAACAATTTTCGTGATATTATTTTGATTTTTCAGTATCTGGGTTGTCTGTACCACAATTATCGTGATATTATTTTGATCAGGGTTGATCCGCTTTTATCGTGATATTATTTTGATTTTTCAGTATCAGGGTTGTCTGTAGTAATTATCGTGATATCATTTAGATTGTTCAGTATCAGGGTTGTCTGTAGCAATTATCGTGATATCATTTTGATTTTTCAGTATCAGGGTTGTCTGTAGCAATTATCGTGATATTATTTTGATCAGGGTTGATCCGCTTTTATCGTGATGTCATGACGATATGTCTCCGTCTATCGCAATGATATTTCAAAAGTTAAAATAACGCTCTATAGACTTTTCTATAATGGTGGTTTTGTCTTGCTGCATAAACGAATCCACCAAACTTGAAATAAAATACCGACATGATAATTCATATGGTAATCGTAAATCACAGCCAGAGTTGGTTCAGGGACATTTAATTGATAGGTTCAGACTTTAAAAATGTCAGAGAATGCTATTTTTGCATCAGATAAAAAATACAAATTAAAAATATTTTTCCAAATAAGGAGTGTTATTTTGCTCGCGTCTCTATTTCCGGCAGAGGATTATTATAAGTCGCTCGCTATTTAAAGAATATGAACTAAAACGTTTCCGCCAACAATCCTGCTATTTCAAATATTTATATAAATGATAATTGAAGTTTGAGTTGACGCGCGTAGCATACAGGTAAGATATGAATGGTATGATCGCTGTATACACAACAGAATGCTCACCTGTGATATATTTACCTGTACATTAATTTGAAACATACTTGAAAAGTGACTAGTATGGTACGGTATGCTTATAGGATGTGCAATAAAAGTCACTTCAGTACAGCTCACGTCACACATACTAAGTACATAACAAGTAATGACAGTGATCATTAACCATGTAATCACGACGTCCTAGCATAGAGAGTCACTCGGTTATATGGCTTTTACCAAAACAATCCCTCAGAGTCACACAGTAACAGCAACACATATTTTGTTATTGGTGGTTTTCGATTTTTAATAAATTGATGACAAAAGTGACAGATAAACAAAAATGTATGTACCGATGATAACATCTCTCATATCCACCCAGCCCCCCCCCNCCACCAACCCACCTCTCTTAATAACCCCTCCTCAACCCCCGCCCACTGCCTACCCCTCTTCTTGCACATGGCACCACTACCACCACTAACACAGTTACAATTAACATTTAAATTTGACCATTCAAATATACTGCCAATTTCTGAGTGCAAGACTTAAATATCTAGTACAGCTCAGACACACCGCACCTATACTGGGTGAAGAAATAGATCACAACACTTGAAAGGAACAAACATATCTATGATACACATGTATACGCACCACGTCATATAGGGAAAGCATTCAGAAAAAAAACACCATATAAGGGCGAAATTAACAGAAGCAATAGAGGTATTTTTAGAATAAGGGAATTCCCAATGGTTAATTTGTATACTTGCTGGCGTAGACAATAACAAAAGTAAACTGTGGTCTGGCCTAAATCATTCAACCCCACATTTCTTAACTGGAATTGTCCAGTCACTGATTTGGTAAGGTTCAAATGTGACTTAGGGGTGAATGAGTAAAGTTCCAAACTCCTCAACCTTCCTCTCCGGCTCTCCCGACATATTGCATACCTTCATTCCCACTACCACGAACAGACTTAACATTTTATATCTTTTATAACTTATAAATAACGTCTGTGATAACATACATATTTATGTCCAATTTGCACAATGTGATATACGTGTAATGTCTGCCTTTCGCCTGAATAAATATTATTATTATTCTAAGATGAAATTCTGAGTGCCACGGCATTTTCAATCTCGGCATCAGACCGGATATCCGGATCACGCGCGTGAAAAATGCAGTATCATTATGCAGTATCATTAAAAATCAATAAAGTTTGTCTGCCACAGGAAAACGGAAGAAGTTTGAATATTTCGTTGTTAACTCACTAATTACTTACGGAACAATGTTAGTCACTCAGTGTTCAAATATTAAATTCGACGAAGTTAAACCATCCCTTTCCTGTCGTTATTGATCATAGTAATGCTAACTCAGCCCGGGTTTTCCTCATATGTTTCCTTTCAGATAAACTACAAGTAGCTTCTTATCTCAGGCTCGTTGTAAGACATTTCACAGTCGTTTGGTCTGTGAAGGGAGATAACTCTATCACAAATTCATTGCAGCTACAAAAATCACACACAGACGGTGTGCAGGACGTGAAAGACCAAACGTCAAATATGCACTATTTTTTCTGTAAAATAGTTCAGGCCGTCAAATTTGCTCGGATATTATGCTAATGAGTTGAATACACTGACTGGATTAAATCACTAATTCTGCTATTTGAAATGTTTGCGGTAATTTCAATATGACAAATGGCTCATGTCACTGATACAAATGCATTGGTTTGATTTTTTAGGACGTAGTGGAATGTTCCCAGTGATTTGTATGCATTCTATTGATGATCAGGTGTGTGTGGGTGAATACTATACAAAATGTCTACGTACTTAACCCATTCTTACATCCTCAATCACCTCATATAATTTACATAGAAAACAGAACTAAATACATATTATTCAAGAATAAAGTTTTGCTGGCATTTTAATAGCGAAACATTTTCGACTATTTAAGGTTCTATTGACGATCTAGAATTACATCATGCCCCCTCGTGCCACTATGTGAATGCTAATGTCGCAATCCGTTATAAAAATCTACCTGTATACTAGATCGTGTCTATACATAACCACGGTTAAGTTAATACACGTAGTGATAGGGTACATTAGGTAACGCAATATGAATTCGAAGTGTTTGTCAACTAACGCCTACAGGAAACCTGCCGCAGTTATTGTGTTATCAAACTAGTGTAACGGGAGAGGAAAAATGCAAGGCCAGGCAGGGGTTCGAACCCGGGACCCTCCGAACTTTAGACGGACGCTCAACCAATTGAGCTACCTGGTCGCCGGTGATCGACCCAGTCAAGTTCCGCTACATTCCTTCCTCCTTTTTTAAGTCTCCACCCCGAAAACAACTATTTACAACCCATGTTCGGGTATACCCTTACCAAGCATACACCAAATGCTTGAAATAAGGGTTGGTCACACCACTGTAACAGAAGAAGAAAAAATGCACGGCCAGACCGGGGTTCGAATTCGGGACCCTCCGAACTCGAGACGGACGCTCTACCAATTGAGCAACCTAGTGGTCGCCGACGATCGACCCAGTCCAGTTCCGCTACATTTGTATTGTCACTACGTGTAGATGAAGAGGTGATCAATGTCACGTGACATGTGACATGATACATTTAGCTTCACATAGAATGCTAGCTGTCTTTTCATCCGAAATATGTTTAGGTTCAATTAGGTTTTAAGCAATCTCGCCCTGCATGATGTGAATTTATTGCTTAATTTGCTATCAATACGACGTGCTATACGTCATTTGTCATTTGGTTGACTCTTATTTCCAATAACATGTGGATAAAGACATTATGAAATATAAACTAACACATTTATGGTGTATATTCGAAGCAATGGTTTCCAATAGACTGTCCTGTTTATGACATAATGTACAATGATCATGAAGCTGTCTTTCGTGGTTTCAGATATCTCTTTGAATTAAAATTTGAACGAAATAATCCAGTTCGTAATTTATGTTCCGATGTGATGCAGACATTTGTAAGACGTTGTCGGCTGTGGGATCACGTGTGGTGATGTATGGCTCGGGTCGTCAATAGAGCATTATAAAGAATGGTACTTAATACTCAGATTTCTTCTCGCTAACTTATCACGTCATAATGTCCCCTATAAATATAACCCGATACACTTCTTTACGCTCGCTACGTGTTACTAACAGTATAACAGTGGTCGTGTGTTACGGATATAGAACATCACTCTGTAAACACGTCAATGTGAACATGTTCATTACTGGGTAAAAGACATAATTCTAACTTACAGTAGCGACTTTTGCTACCTCCCTTTTATCACAAACTTACCTGTGAAATTGTATGGATAGAGGTAAATGGTACAACCAAGCTAAACTTTATCATTGACGTTGTGAAGTATTTGTTGATCCTTTTCAAAAAAGTAAATATTTCATAAAATACATGTTGTGCAATTTACAGAATGATATTTGTTCAATATTTGAATGCTTGAAATGGCAGGGGTCAAACTCGGGACCTTTGTATTCCAAGTCCACAATTTACCAATAACGCCACCCAGGAATTATAAATGCGCAACATCGAAATGAGTTTTCATGCGTATGGAAAATCAGTGAACCTTGAAAGATACATAACTTGACAAAGGAAGTTTCTCAAAGGCAGCAAAATCCTTTTTGCTGCTTCAAGGTGGTAACTATGGCAGTCGTTAGTACCTTTAGCTTAAGTCCAATATAAGAATCGTAACAATGAAGAGGAACCAGGTACCAATAACACGTCAACCTGGCCTGATAAGTCATTGTCCTACAATATCTAGTTATAAACAAAATCACTTTTAGTAAATTCGGTGAAACTTTATCATATTGTCAATAGACAAAGACAAAATCAAAACTCAGAGACAAAAACAAAGAGGAAGTGACGAAATATCAACAGAGACAGAGGGAGAAATAAAGTTGTTACTTCCAAATTAAGCAGAATCAAATCAACGATCAACTATCTATCAATTAACTAGGACATAGAGTGACAAAGAGTTAGAAATAGTGACCAACGGCCAACTGTCACTAAACTAGTTAGAAATAGTGACAAACGGCCAACTGTCACTAAACTAGTTAGAAATAGTGACCAACTGCCAACTGTCACTTATCTAGTTAGAAATAGTGACCAACTGCCAACTGTCACTAAACTAGTTAGAAATAGTGACCAACGGCCAACTGTCACTAAACTAGTTAGAAATAGTGACCAACGGCCAACTGTCACTTATCTAGTTAGAAATAGTGACCAGCGACCAACTGTCAATAAACTTGATAAATGTGACCAACGGCCAACTGTCACTTATCTAGTTAGAAATAGTGACCAACGACCAACTGTCAATAAACTTGATAAATGTGACCAATATTACAATCCAGTTTTATCAAACAACAGCATGCAAATATTGGCCAATGGCATAAGCCGCCACAACACCAGGAAAGTGGTCGAATGGTGATAATCCTCTATAAACACAGTCTAGAGTACACAGTAGGTAGTGTAGCCCAACAATGACGTGGTCCTAATATCAACATGTGTCAATCTCTTACAAACATACGTACGTCACATACCTGACTTTCTCCTCCTACTTGATATATAACTAAGGTCAATTTAGATACGTTTGTCAAACGGCTAGTCCATAGAAATAGTAGATTGGCTTGGTTTGTTAGTGTTTTGCGTTTGTTCATTTAAGGACGTTCATCTCATAATCAAATCATCTCCTCATCTTTTCATGTCATCATCTCCTCATCGCATCCTTCATCACCGCCCTATCATCGCCTCATCTCCTCAGTATCCTCTCATCCTATCATCTAACACTCGCCACCATAACCCCACTTCAACCTCTATATCTCTTTTTCATCTTTGTATTTATACACAAACGTACAATAAGCCGCCCAACAACTCTGGAATATAATTTCATGATTTAGCTCTCCTTCTCCAAAATCATATCTCATCACTATATGATGTTGAAGACATATGTAGCTCACCCTTCCCGTGTCCTTTCTCACTCATCCTCCTAAATAGTCTCACCCGCCCGATAACACAAATACCTTTAGAGCTGATATGATCACAATTGTGCATACTCAATAAACTGTCCACCCTACCCGATATACACCCCAGTTCACCTATTTGTGATACAGGTGACAACGCATACAGGTAGACTGTATACACATTTAAGTACTAGGTAAAGGTGTTACTCACTCTACTTGATGTATCTTCCATTGTGAATCTTTCCTCTGGTTAGTGTGTCCTAAATAGATAATCCTCTCCCCCGGTCGATGTCTTACTAAATATCCTCACCCTCGGGATTTTTATATCACAGTCTTCACTTAAAACACCGGAACTCTCACCTGAACAGGTAAGTGTCAAAATTGACTACTGGGACGACAACCGTGCTGTGACGGCTTTAATACTCATAGAATGAAACTAGAATCAGTCAAGTGTGTCAGGGATATTTAAAGTGATCCGAGTCCATCGTCCCTGGAATTGTCTACCACGCCTATCAACTCAGGAATGTTACCAAATTCGACCGTATTGTGAAAAAGAACACCGATTGTTCTAACAAGACAACACAAGCTTTAATTCAACAGTTAAATGTGTACACCAGCTAGCTAGACAGGTAAATCATTAACGAGATATTTAGGCCAGGTTTGTGTCGCCCTAAGACATGTTTTCCAGCTGACCTGTTACGTATACACGCAGTGAATTCAGTTGTATCCTCTAACGTATAACCTCTTGTTATTAACTAAATTTGTTTACTGATATCCTGACGTATAAACAACTACTGTTATTTACTGATCTCTATGACATATCATATCAGCTCCTGTCATTATCCAAATATGTTATTTACTTTTCCATACAAGGCAAAGCATTTATTATTGTCTAAATCTACTTCATAGTTTAACCACGGAATTAGACTAGTCCGTGGTTTAACATATGAGATATAGGTTTTTCTTCTTTTACATATCAGCTCCTAACATTATGCAAATGTGTTTATGTTTTGTATTTTTATATATATCCTCCTGTTATTAACCAGATATGTGTTACATTTTTTAGATAACCTCCTGTTATTAACCAGATATATGTTACACTTTTATAGATAACATCCTGTTATTAACCAGATATGTGTTACACATTTATATATAACCTCCTATTATCAACCAGATGATTTATACTTTTATATATAACCTAGTGTTATTAACCAGATATGATTTATACTTTTATATATAACCTCCTGTTATTAACCAGAGATGATTTATACTTTTATATATAACCTCCTGTTATTCTCGTAATATGTTTTATACTTTTACATATAAGTTCCTATATATACGAACAAATGTTTGATAGTTTTACATATAAGCTGCTATTATTATCCAAATCTATTTTTACATCTAAGCTCCAGTTATTATCCAAATATGATTTTTATTTTCACATATACGCTCCTGTTATTATCAGAATATGTTTTTTTTATGTTTACATATACGTTCCTCTTATTCTCAGAATATGTTTTTTTTTATGTTCACATATACGCTCCTGTTATTATCAGAATATATTTTTTTTTTATTTTCACATATACGCTCCTGTTATTATCAGAATATGTTTTTTTTTTGTTTACATATACGTTCCTCTTATTCTCAGAATATGTTTTTTTTTATGTTCACATATACGCTCCTGTTATTATCAGAATATATTTTTTTTTATTTTCACATATACGCTCCTGTTATTATCAGAATAGGTTTTTTTCATTTTCACATATACGCTCCTGTTATTATCAGAATATGTTTTTTTTATGTTTACATATACGCTCCTGTTATTATCAGAATAGGTTTTTTTTTATTTTCACATATACGCTCCTGTTATTATCAGAATATGTTTTTTTTATGTTTACATATACGCTCCTGTTATTATCAGAATAGGTTTTTTTTTATTTTCACATATACGCTCCTGTTATTATCAGAATATGTTTTTTTTATTTTCACATATACGCTCCTGTTATTATCAGAATATGTTTTTTTTTTTTCACATATACGCTCCTGTTATTATCAGAATATGTTTTTTTTTTTTTTCACATATACGCTCCTGTTATTATCAGAATATGTTTTTTTTATTTTCACATATACGCTCCTGTTATTATCAGAATATGTTTTTTTTTTTTTACACATATACGCTCCTGTTATTATCAGAATATGTTTTTTTTATTTTCACATATACGCTCCTGTTATTATCAGAATATGTTTTTTTATTTTCATATATACGCTCCTGTTTTTTATCTAGGGTTGTTTAA